TTATTCAATAATGAAAATAATCAGAGCACTGATGATTGCACCAACACAGATGAATATTCAAAAATAGACACTGAGTCAAAGAAGACAGATAAAAAAAAGTATATTCTTCAAAATTACATGTACATGAAACCCAAGGAAAGCACAAGTCATCTGTAGCACTGGAAACCAGGTCTGTGATTGCCAGGGACCAAGAAGCAAAGTAATGGGTAATATTAAACATAGTAACTTTGGGGGTAATGGTAATATTAAACATGGGTAAACATGGGTATGCATGTACGGCTATAGTATGTTCAATTTAATTCTTTAGGATAAATAAAGAGGAGGACGATTGACCCAAAAATGGAACTTTGGGGGTAATGGTAATATTAGGTATATGCATTTTTTAACACTCAATAAATTTTCCACTCAAAATGCATGTATTTGTATGCACACAAACTATACCTCAATGACATTTGTTTTGTCTTGTCTTAACCAAAGCCATTTGTAAACAATATGTGGAAAGCACCTATACCCAGAAGCAACAGTGATGATAGAAGGAGTTCTCCTAATTGACAACATACTAACTAGGTAGATACAAAGGGATTATACCACTGTGGGAAGGGAAAAGTAAAAGAAATAACAGTGACAACTAAGAAAAAATATAGGTGTTTATTTCTCTCTTCTGTGACTGTCCAGGCAGGTTCATCACATAGAGGTCATCCAGGAAGCCAGGTATTCTGGAAGCTCTGCCATCTTCTTCCTGTGATCTCAACCTGAGGTTCAGGTACCCTGAGATGGGTCCATGGAGGGAATTTAAGAGGTTTGTGTTCTCCCTATTGGTCCATACAGGGGAAAGTCATTAGCAGTTTGCTTCCCTTGCTCTGAAGCTTCTCCTTAATAACTGAAGGGAAGGGTCTGTCTTTTTAAGCATCAAGTTAATAAAGCTGGGGCAGTCCATCCTTATACAAAAACGAAAGAGGTTTGTGATCTCAAATGGGAAAAATAATTACATCTTTATTATCACCAGCCTCTACAAGAAGTTTATCAATCTCAGTTATGAATACTGACAACAAACTACAGGAGTTTTATAATACCTATGGCATATGACACAACTATTTAAGAATCTTAAAATATCATCCATGCATATCACAGCTTTGGAATTACTGTACATACAGGCCTGCTGCTAAGTTTCATATTTTTGTGTTAATAAAGAATTTTTATATGAACATGTAACAAATGGAGTTACTTAAACTCTTGTTTATTATATTTCTATATTGATAGAAATTGGGTTTGTTATGACTCCATGTTTTATTTTACATATTATAAAATGTTATTTGGAGAAGGTCAAAGGCTTCACAAGATGACCAAGGGTGCCATGTTACAAAGAAGTTTTAGAAACCCTCTGTTCCAGGATGTTGTCATTATGCCCACTGTCAACGTGAGGCTGGTGGCATGCCTTGTTTGCAGCAGGCAGGAAGAGGAAGAGCCTTGAGAAAATAAGTCATGTGTTGCCTCTGTTTATAATTCCACTGCAGAGACAGCAATCCCAGGTCCAAACCTGAACACCACGGAACCTGGGAAATCATTAACTGTGTTACCACATGTCCAGCTACAAGTTTCTATTATCAGCAATAGAAGGGTCAACACTCGCCATCTCTGCACGTTTACTTGATAGTATCTGAGGATGGCAGCAGATGAGCAAAGGAGACAAATGAGGAAGAGAGTGCCCAGGTTTCTGAAAGAGATGCCACTCACTAACATGATAGAGGAAGAAGAGAATTTCAGGAGGAGAAATATTCTTTTTTCTCCTTTTAAAAATTTTGTGCATTATATACATAAAGTATCATTTGTTGTTACATATGTGCACATGCACAAAATAGAAAAATATGATTTGGTTATTCACATTCCCCAGAACCTCCCCTTGCCCTTCCCTCCTTCCTCCCCTTGGTTCCCTTCCTACACCATACTGATCTCCCTTCTATTTTCATGAGGTTTTCCTCTTTTCCTCTTTTTCTTTCTAGCTTCCACATATGAGAGAAAACATGACCACTGACAGTTTTTATTATTTTACTTTTTCTCATTTGTTCCTTTTAGATATACATGGCAGTAGAGTATATTTGGACATATTAGACATATATGGAGTTTAACTTATTCTAATCAGGATCCCATTCTTGTGGTTGTACATGATGTGGAGTTACACTGGCTGTGTATTTATATATGACCATAAGAAAGTTGTGTCTGATTAATTCTACTGTCTTTCCTATTCCCATCTTTGTATACATTGACTTTTTGAGTTGGGCTTATTTTGCTTCTAAAGTTCCATCCATTTCCCTGCAAATGATAAAATTTCTCTTTTCTTTATGGCTGAATAAAATTCCATTGTGTATATATACCACATATTCTTTACTCATTCATCCATTAATAGACCTGAAGGCTGGTTTCATAATTTGGCTATTGTAAATTGTGCTGCTATAAACCTGGGTGTGCATGTATGGCTATAGTATGTTGCATTTAATTCTTTAGGATAAATACAGAGGAGTGGAAGAGTTGAGTCATGGTGATTTCATTTCTAGTCTTTGAGGACCCTCTATACTGATTTCCATAGTGGTTGTACTGATTTACAATCTCACCAGCTGCATAAAATGTTTCTTTTCCCAAACATCCTCCCCAGCATGTATTATTATTTGTATCTTTATGGCTATCATTCAAACTGGAGTGAGATTAAAATTTCAGGGTAATTTTGATTTGCATTTTCCTAATCGCTAAAGATGTAGAACATTTTTTCATATGTTTGTTGGCCACTTCTATTTCTTCTTTTGAGAAGCATCTGTTTAGTTTATTTGCTCATTTGTTGAATGGGTTTTTTGGGTTTTGGTGGTTTTTACAGTTCTTCATATATTCTGGATATTAACCCACTGTCAGAGAAGTAGCTGGCAAACATTCTCTCCCATTCTATAGGTTCTCTGTTCATCCTCCTAATTGCCTCCTTTGCTGTACAGAAACTCTAATTTAATGCCATCCCATCTATTAATTTCCCATCTTGCTACCTTACTAAGAACATTGATTATTTTTTGTTGTTTTTGTTCTAATTAGTTATACATGAGAGTAGAATATATTTTGACATACTATACATATATGGAGTATAACTTCTCATTCTTCTGGTTGTACATGATATATAATTATATTAGTTGTATAATCATATATGCATATAGGATAGTAATGTCTGATTTATTCTACTATCTTTCTAATTCCCATTTCCCCTTCCTTCCTATCATTCCCTTTTGTCTAATTCAATCTACTTCTATTGTTCCACACAGCCCCAACCTTGTTGTGAGTTAACATTCATATATTAGAGAAAACACTTGGCCTTTGCTTTGGGGGGATTGGTTTATTTTATTTAGCATGATAGTCTCCAGTTCCATTCATTTGCCAGCAAATGTCATAATCTTTTTCTTCTTCATGGCTGAAAATATTCCACTGTGTAAACATACCATATTTTCTTTATGCATTTATCTGTAGAAGGGCACTTAGGTCATTTCCATAGTTTAGCCATTGTGAATTGAGCTGCTATAAACATTGATGGGGCTACATCACTGTAGTATGCTGATTTTATTGATTCTTAACAGCAGGTACATGGACCTGAAAAATTATAACAACAAAGGAAGGCTTACTTTAGAAGATATCATCTCCAAATGGGCAGTAAATATCCCAGAGAGTGGTGGGCATTTCCAGTTGGCAAAACGTGGTATGTTACTCACTGTTTCTCTCTTTGATAAAATGAAGACAATCTGTCTGATGGCCACTGACTATTCCTGTTATTGTCTGGGGGCTTTTCTCACCTTCCAGGACCATTAAGGCCTTTGTTGGTCATTGTTAGGACAAAATGAGGTCTGGCCCAACAGCCATAGAGTGGACCCAGATCTGTGTGGCTCTATTGTCTAAAGCAGTGGTTGATAATAAATATATGAAAAAAATGTTCAACGCTTTTAACAATTACAGAAATGCAAATCAAAACTACACTAAAACTTCATCTCACTCCAGTCAGAATGGCAGTTGTTAAGAATACAAATAATGAAAAATGCTGGAGAAGTTTTTGTGAGGAGGAAGGAGCACCTTTAAACTGTTGGTGGGATTGTAAATTAGTAAAACCTCTATGGAAATCAGTAAGGAGCATCCTCAAAAGACTAGGAATGGAATCACCACATGACTCAGCTATGACACTGCTTGGCATTTATCCTAAAAAATTAAAGTCACATACTAAGCAATATATGCATACCTATGTTCATAGCAGCACAATTCATAATAACCAAATTATGGAAATAGCCTGGGTGTCCACCAACAGGTAAATGGGTAATGTATGGTACATATATACAATGCAATTTTATTCAGGCACAAAGAAGAATTAAATCATATCATTTGCAGGAAAATGATTGGGATTGGAGAGCATTATGCTAAATGAAATAAGCCAAACTCAGAAAGTCAAGGCACATATATTTTCTCTCATATGTGGAAGTTAGAAAGAAAAAGAAAGAGAGGTGGGTCTCATAAAAATTGAAGGAAGGCAGAGAGCAAAGATAAAAAGGACTAGGGGGAGGGAAGAGGGGAGGAACAGGAAATGTACTGAGGATTGGAATTGACCAAATTATATTGTTATATTACTTGCATGTACTAATATGTAGCAATGAATTCTATAATTATGTATAATTAAAATGCACTAATAAAAAGAACAGAAAATATTGGAAATGAGAAAATAAAAAGAAAAAATTTAAAAATATTCTACTTTGCCTTACAAGTCAATGTTCTTTGAAAATATGATTTTTCATGTTTTCATAGTTGTATAAATTTCAACATATGCTATACTTTAATGTATTCAGTCCTCCATTGTTGGAAATTTTGGACTATTTGCTATTATCTATGGTAAATACTCCATAAATTACAAGTTTAAAAACCAAACCAAACAAAAAACAAATCCCCAACTGCCCTCATAGTTCTCTGGTCGTCACTAAGTCTCTTCCCAAGCTATGCCGCTGCCACCCAAATGTGCCATGTCCTCCCTGGACTTTGCCTGGGTGGGACAGGGTTTCATTCAGACATCCAGCAGCCAGCAGGATCTGGGCTGTACAGCTGTGGCCATCAGTCATCCAGGTGAGGAGAGGGGAGGTTCGTGGGGCTTCAAGCCCTGGGTCTGGGATCTGCAGGATTGAGACCATGCCTGACCTTCCCAGCCTGTGGTGCAGGGAGCAGCTGGTATAGCTTTCTCACTGTACCCCTTCTGTTTCATTTTAATATACCCATTTTTATTTTTTATTTATAATTTCATTCTCCTGGAAGATTTATTATCTGCCTCTTTACAGAAAAAGTTTGTCTATCTCTGGATCAGAACATTCATATATCAGGTCACTATTTCTGTCTTTGGATTTAAATCTGCTATCCTGAGAGCTGTTTTCTCCTTCCTCCCTTCCTTCCCTCCTTTCCCTTATGTTGGGTTAATTGAACATTTAAAAGTTATTTTATTTAATATCCATTATTATTTTATTATTTATGTCTCTTTTAAGAAAAAATGTTTAGTGGTTGCACCAAGTGTTGCAGTATTTTTTATAAATAGTTTTTATGCTGTACTCTTTTAGGACTAATGATAAAAGTCTGTACATGTCCAGTACATATGCAGTGTCCTGTTTCAAAACTTTTCCATCTTGGTTGGTTGAATTCTCAGTTGCAGAACCAATGAATACAAAAGACTGGCTCTGTTTGACCTAACACAATCTCCTTTTTATCCTAAGGACATCTGCTTTGTTTTTCCAAATTGTTCTAGTTTAATTGCTGAAATGCTAAAGTGTTTTAAGTCTTGGCCTGGAATATTTGAGAGCCATTTCTTTTCAAGCACAGAGTCCTTTTAGAACCTAGCATCACACATGAGGGCTTGACACAGTTTTTAGTCTATATGACTTGGATTCATCTTGAAAGTCCAGACTTCAGAATTCCTGTATAGATATCACCCTGGTCTTCCAAATTAGAATTCACAAATGTACTCACTCTGAGATGTCTTGCCTGTATTGTATTTGAGGTACTTTCAGTAAAATTCAGCAAATTTTATTGAACATAAGATAATACGCAACCGGGTCTTCAAAACAAGGCAATGGGGCCTTCATAACAAGGTTCACATGGAAAATAGGAAATTCAATTCTCCATGGATGACTGTTTACTCTCAATCACTTGAACTTCTGGCTACATTTCTTTTTGTCTTCTCAGGTATTTATCATGTCCTTACTAGAATTAGATTCCTAAAGTCTTAAGACATTGAAATCATTTCACCTACTTTTCAGAGCATTCATTTCTCTTGCCTGTTCGCCTTGAAGTGATGATTAACCTTTGTGATCCAGGCCCCTCCTTAAGGTGGAGTTGCCTGACAATTTGAAGCTGAATTATACAGAAGGTTGTAAGTCCAAGCAAAAAGTACCCAGGGGCTGGGGATGTGGCTCAGCAGTAGAGCACTCACCTAGCTGGTGTGAGGCACTGAGTTTGATCCTCAGCACCACATAAAAATGAATAAATAAAATAAAGATATTGTGTCCAACTACAACTAAAAAAATATTTTTAAAATAAGGATCCAGTCTACAACTTGTGATTTATTTTGTTACAAAGAAGAGGTGCCTCGGTAACACACTGGGGCTTCAGGAGAAAACCTCCACACCCTGCTCACAGGAGTTCCTAGGTGTAGGATTGAAGAAGTCTTTACAACTAAAGGTAAGAAAACATTTTCTAAGTGGAGCAGGTGAGGGAGAGTGGTGACATTTATTCTTGAGTGCAGAAACTTCTAAAGTCTATGTGTAAACTGAGAGTACAGGGTAGGAGTTACTTCTAGGAGGGGAAATAAATTTTCAGGGATAAAATATTTTAGAAAGGCATCATTCAAGAAACTGGATTTTATTTATTTACTTATTATGATGTCAAGGATCAAACCCAAGGCCTTGAGCATGTTAGACAGGCACTCTACCACTGAGCGATGCTCTCAGCCCAAGCAATCTGATTTTAAATCACAAGTTGAAATTCCAGATCAAAGACAAATCATATGAATTGAAGAGAAACACTGATAAAGCCTAAAACAATTTTAAAAGGAAGTAATGACCATGAGTTTTAAAATAAATATTTTCAAGGTTAATGGGTGCCATAAAGTCTCCAAGGAAAACAAGAAAACGGAACAAATTTACAGACAGGGATTGAGGAGGCTGAATGATCAATTTATATAAGAATATCACTGAGTTAATATGAATCTCAGGGTCAGTATTTACTCAAGTTTTTGTCTGCTCATGATGTTTAAGGAAGAGAATAGGAGGCATGTGAGATGACAATAAGCTGGAGGCTTCACCTTAACCATGAGCATCCCTGCACCCTGTAGGTGCTTAGCTGCTCAGTTCCTTAGAGTCCATGGGGGCTGCGTGGAATAACTTTCCTGGGCAAAGTACAAGCTGATCAACATGAACAGCTGCTGGGGGCCGCAAGGGGTGGGGGGGGGGGGGGGGCAAGGTTTACCTCTGGGAGGAACTCATCTGAGGAGGCACAAGCACTTCGGGTGTTTCCACGCTTTTCTTTCTGTTTTGTTGCATTGTGTGTGTGTTTTGTTGTCTCTTGTAGGGTCCTGATCATGAAAACAACTGTGACCAATCGGAAGTCACTGTGGCTACTGCTGCTTATATTAGCCTTCTTGATCACTTTTACAGTTCTCCAAAAGTACACAAAGGTAGGAATTGCTTGCTTTCTGTGTTTGCAAAAGTATATTTTTACTTGATACCTCACCTGTTCTAGGAAAGTCTAAACTTCAAGACCTATAAAACATAGTAGGGGAGTTTCAAAGGCATGCACACTTTTTAAGAAGCAGAGTGACTGAAAATCATTAAACAGCATGTGAGAGAGTAACACTGTGTGTGTTTACACACAGACCCTGTTTTTTCACCTTCTTTTATAAAACATCTGAAGAACAAAATATGCTTATTTTCATATAGTAATATTTATCTGCCTTTTTACTCTGAAGAGAAATATTTCCACACTCCAACATTAGATTACTTGTCTAAATAATCTACTGAAATTTTAAATGTTGGGCTGGGGATGTGGCCCAATCGGTAGCGTGCTCGCCTGACATGCGTGCGGCCTGGATTCGATCCTCAGCACCACATAAACAAAGATGTTGTGTCCGCCAAAAACTGAAAAATAAATATTAAAAAAATTCTCTCTGTCTCTCTCTCTCTCTCTCTCTCTCCTTAAAAAAAATTTTAAATGTTGCTTTTGAAAATCTAAAAATCAGCATATTATAGCAATACAGCCACCTCAATGTTTATAGCAGCATTGTTCACAATAGTCAAATTTTGGAATTAACCCAGATGTTCCTCAATAGATGAATGGACTAAGAAAACACATATATAGACATAATGGAGTCTTACTCAGCCATAAAGAAGAATGGAATAATGGTATTTGCCATTATGTAGTATTGGAACAAGGAAATTGTCAGTACATTGATGAAAATACAGAATGCTAAGTGAAATAGGCCAGACTTAGAAAATCAAGGTGGAATGTTTTCTCTCATATGTGAAAGCTAGAGCAAAGCACAGGAAAGAAGATGGTTTGGGAGGAGATGGGATACCAGAAAGACACAGAGAAAATCAGTGGAGTAGAACAAGGAGGTCAAGAGTGAGGAAAGAAGGGAAAGAGGAAGATAAATGGAATGAATTTAATAAAATCATTTTAGATTCTTATATAGAGGTGCCAAAGGGAAATTCATTTATATGTATATGTAGAAGAAAGGAAATTTAGTTGAGTAAAGGAGGGAGATTAGGGAGAGGGAGGTGGAAGGAAATAGGATGTCTGGGAATTGAAATCAAATTGGTTGCATGTGTGATTTGTCCAAGTGAACCCAACTACTATGTATAATTATGAAGCTCTAATAAAAAATCTTACTTTTGACTTTTAACCTTTCAATGCATGTGCTTTATTTTGTTTTTATTTCCTTCTGTTAATCTTTTACTTCCATATAGATAGCCACCTCCTTTTATTTAATGTAGTCCTTTCTTTCTAGGGCATGCCACCTCGTATCTCAAAAGGTCAATCAAGTGAAAGTCCCTTTTGGGGCTCTTGTTCTGTTCCATTGACCACTTTGTCTTGCTTGTGCCAACACTACATTGTTACTAGTGACAGAGCTTCAAAATTAGTCTTGAAAGCTTGCAGGTCACATTGCCATTGTTTGTTTCACTTCAGAAGATTTGGCCCCATCGTAGCTCTTCACTCTTCCTTGCACATTTTGGAGTCAGCCTATCAAATCTGAAGAAAAACCCTGGTTAAGTTCTATAAGCATGACCTCAACTTACATAAGTCCAGTTGGAAAAACTGACGTTTATATTTTTCTGTTGAGCAACATCGGATATCTATTTATTTACATCTTCTTCAAGTCTTTCAGTAAATCTTACAGTTTCTGCCTACAGGTCTTGCACATTTTCCATTAGATTTATTCCTAGGTACCTTATAATTACATGTTGGTATAATATTTTTTGTTTGTATATGCTTTTCTTTTTAAAATGAGATTTTCTAATTGTTTATTGACGGTGTAGAGGAGGACAATTGACTTTTGCATATTGAACAATAAAATTTTAACTTTCCAGTATCTCTACTTGATTCATTAATGCCACCAGCATCTCTTTAAGGATGGAAAGTATATTTGTATTATGGCTTCCATCTTTTCCAGAACACTTATCTGTGTTTGGAGCTATGATTTTCTTTCTTGATTTAATCTCATCTTGGTTTAATCTCTCATTTTTCTGGAGATTTCCCACTAGTTCTGGTTCAACTAAGGCATTTCTGTTTCCCAGAAATAGATTTGTGAAGTTCTTTTCTGTGTTTTATAGGATTTTTATGGCAAAATATTGAGACTCAATATATGCTTAGTCCTTCATCTTAAATCAGACTTTGCTTGTTTTATTTCTTCCAAAAATTATGAGCACAAAAAATGTGGCATATATACACAATGGAATTTTACTCAGCAATAAAAGAGGATAAAATCATGGCTTTTGCAGGTAAATGGATGGTGTTGGGGAAGATAATGGTAAGTGAAGTTAGCCAATCCCCAAAAGACAAATGCCGAATGTTTTCTCTAATATAAG